CATTTATAGATCTTACATTATCCAAATCACCAGTATAGTTTGAATCCACGTCCTACAATTGAAACATCATTCTACTCACTGCCAAAAATAAATTTCATATTCTACAGTAACGTTCAGATACCTGAAAATCCACTTGACTGTTTCCCAATGTCACCTACCAGGTTTAGACATGTATTTATAAACTTGACTAACACCATGAGCCAAGTCAGGGCGAGTAGATATCATTGCATACATCAAACAGCCAACCACACTGGCATGTGAAACCTTTGTCATGTCTTTGATTTCCCTATACATTTTAGGACACTGTTCTGAAGAAATATTAAAATGATTTGTCAATGGAGTGCTCACAAGCTTTGTTTTGCACATCTCAAACATGTCTAGCACTTCCTCAACATAACCTCGTTGAGATAAACACAATCGTCTTGAGCTTCTATCTCGGTGAATCTCCATTTCAAGAATTTTCTTTGTAGCACCTAAGTCTTTCAGATCAAATTTCTGACTCCATAAAACTTTCAAACTAAGGAGACAATGCATATTTTTTACAACAATTAGTACGTCGTCAATATATAGTAGTAGAAAAATAAAAGAACAGTCATCAAGGCTATTAACAAAAACACAACAATCATACTCACATCGTTTGTAACCAATCTAAATCGTGTAGGAATCGAACCGCTTGTATCATTGTCTTGAAAACTATTTCAACCCATACAACGACTTCTTTAATCTGCAAATCAGATGCTCATGTCCAGATTGAGTGAACCGTTCTGACTACTCTATGACTGCTCTTCCAGATCACTATGCAAGAATGCAGTTTTAACATCCATCTGCTCTAGATTCAAATCTCAAAAATTATTAATGCAAACACTGTCCTCTGATTGAAACATGTCTGACCACAGAAGAAAAGATTTCATCATAATTTATCCCCTACTGTTGTGAAAATCTATTTCTTATCAACCGAGCCTTGAACTTTTTTCTTTCTTTTTTTGATATTGTTGGTTTTCTTTTGTGCACCCACTTGCACGCAATAATCTTCTTTCCCTCAAGAAGTTGAACTAGCTCTAATGTATGATTTTTCTGCAAAGACTTCATCTCTTTAACCATTGCACCCATCCATTTCTCATTCTTCTGGCTAGTGATAGTTCCTTGAAAGATGACTGGATCATCACTACTGATGAGAAGTGCACAAGAGACAAAGTCTTCATAACCCAATCTGCATGGAGGTTTTATATTGGTGTCTCTCTGTCTGTTTCTGACTATATTATAATTTTGCAGACAATCTGTGTTAAAATCACTAGATGTTAAATTTGAACTTTCAATTTCTCAGTTGTTACTGGATGTTGTTCTACATCCACTGCATTGTATCTGAACTGGAACTATTTTCTGACTACTTGTCTTGATGCTGCTGCAACATAAACTGCTCATAAAAAACGACATCTCTAATGATCATCATTTTCTTTGCAATCTGGTCCCAGAACTTGTATCATTTGAAACATTTATAGTATGCCAGAAAGATGCACTTTTGGATTTTGGATTAAGTTTTGATTTTTCATCACCAGATATATACACATAAACAGGACAACAAAAAATTTGTAAGTGATCAAAATTAACTACATCACCTGTCCATACATCATCTACAACCTTGTCACACAATGATGCCCGAGGTGATCTATTGATGAAGTAACACGTCATACATCCTCTGCCCAAAACCTTTTAGAATGTCCTACATTCATTCTCAAGCATCTTTGCCCTTTCAGTTAAATATATGTTCATCTTTTCTGTATTGTCATTCTGCTGTGGTGTTTTATGTACTAAAAAATGTCTCTGAATCTCATGCTTCTCACAAAATTTTTGAAACTACGAATATGTGTACTTTGTGTCATTTTCAGACCTCAAGTACTTAATCTTTCTACCAGTTTGATTCTCCACCTCAGTTTTCCACAGCTTGAATTTGACGAAAACTTCATATTTTTGTTTTAAACAATACACCCAAACTTTCCTATAAAAATCGTCAATAAAGGTAACATAATACAGTGACTCTCCCAATGACGATTCCCTGATAGAGCCCCATACATCAGAATGCATATAATCAAGAATTCTTTTAGTTTTGTGTTTTCCAGTCACGAAACTAATTCTAACCTATTTTCCAAAAACTCAAAGTTAATAAAAATCAAATTTGCAGCTTTTAACACCATGCTACATATTTCTTTTATGCAATTCAGTCATCTCACATTCACTAAGATGACCAAGACGCATGTGCCACAGTTTTGTATCATCATCATATAACTCGCACATTCACTAAGATGACCAAGACGCATGTGCCACAATTTTGTATCATCATCATATGACTCGACAGAATAAACTCCACCTACAACTGTACTCCCTAACAATTTATAGATATTTCATGCAGTTAACTTTCCTTTTATCACAATCAATGCACCTTTAATAAATCTACTAACAACTGGACTCCCTAACAGTTTTTAGATATTTCATGCAGTTAACTTTCCTTTTATCACAGTCAATGCACTCTTAACAATTTTAATGATTTCTCTATTCTCATCTGCTTTAGAAATAAAACTATTTCTATGTAAAATGCCTAAGAAAATTAAATTATTTTTTAATCTGGAACATATCTAACATCACATAATATTCTAACAGTGTCATCATACATATTAATTATGATTTTACCAATATCAATAATATTGCAACATCTATCATCACCTAAATAGACAGAACCAGAATTAGATAACATATATGAAGTAAATCACTCTCTGTCAGGTGTTATGTGATAAGAGCATCTTGAATCAAGAATCCATACATCTATGAACTAAGTTGATGAAACTGAAAACATATCACAATAACTACAATCTGAATTGTCACTCTGCGCCACATTTATAGATTTGGATGATACATCATGTTTCTCAGCAGTTTATTTCTTGAGCTTTGGACAATCTCTCTTCATATGTACCAGCTCATTGCACTTGTAGCAATGAATCGTCTTTTTGTATATAGACTTTGATCTGAAATTTTGTTTTCCAAAACTCTCCTTTTACTTCCTTCCACGATCCTGATTATCCTTAACATAAAAACTGTCACCATGAGAGCTTTCCGTACATTCTTTTTTTGTTGGTTGTCAGCCAACAATATTGCAGTAATTTTATCAACTTTGATTGTTTCTTTCTCATATGTAAGAGTAGTCAACAGGTGTTTATAAGATGAAGGCAATGAACACAACAAAATCATTACTCAGACTTCACCCTCAATATTCACAACAAGTCGTGTTAAATTTGTGATTATTTGATTGAAGACATTCATATGCTGCATCAGATCAAAACCTTCTTGCATCTTCAGTTCATACACCCTTTATTTTATATACAATTTATTCATTAGGGATTTGGACATAAACCGAGTTTCCAATTTATTTCATACTTCTCCTGAAGATTTTAGATTCATTACGTGATACACCTCTTCTATCAGACATAAACGTATGGTTCATGTTGCTCGTTGTTGCAATTCTTTCGAATCTTCATCCGCTATAGTATTTGGTTTTGTTGGCCGAAAAGCCTTCAAGATCCCTTATTGCGCCCTTGTTTGCCAAAATCCGAAGTTATTGATTTCATCATACTTCAACACTTCAAACCTTGCATCGAACATAGCCATCTCAACTCGCTCTTCCCGTGATCTTCTTTATCTCGAGCCAAAGCCAAGCCGCACCACTCGCGATCTTCGTCTAAGTCGTGACCGAGCGTTCTTTTTCTTCCTTCCTGCGCCAAACTCCTCTGCCCTAAAACCTTGCTCTGATATCAATTGTAGATAAATTAGGCAAAAAAATATAAGAATCGACTGAACAATCAAGAACAAACATAAGGATTTAACGAGATTCGACAATGTCCTCAAAAGCAATGAACGGTGGCTTCTTTTGATTTCTTAAAAACAGTGCATCCCCTTAGGGTTACAAATACAACATATATATAACCCTAGTGTACAATATGTAATTACAAAATTACCCTGTACCGGACCGTGGGGGCAAAGCCCGCGCACACCCAACCCAATTAACGAAACCCCTTCAATTGGACAAATGCTTCCGCTCCGTTCCAGCATCTGTCTCTTATCTGGTATATGAGTCATACTTCACAAAAGAAATTATATATTTTATATTAATAATTCATTATATATAAAATTATATCCACAACATATTGTATGGCACATTCCCCAATTATTTCATGCCATCATTTCATCGTATTCAAGTCATCGTATTTGTGTTTGTGATTGGCAAATGAACTTATTAAATTGTATCAACACAATCATATATTACAATAGAGGTTTGAAAGATTACAAATGTCAAGCTCTACACTCTACTTAAAGAAAAGATGCCTGAAAATCAATATGTTCTGCAAAAGTACTAACATATCTCAAATAATTTATGCATGCAGAGCACATATTTCAAGGTGGATCGAGTGTAGCATCCACCTCCCCTAATAATAAAAACAATTGAATACCAACATTTTTCTAACAAACCGTACAACTGCTTTAATCACAATTTCTCATTGAAATACTTCCCCACAAAGTGCATGGATCGTGAAATCGGAATATCTAAAAAGATCATATCTTTCATTATCCAACACAGATGAAGAGTCATAAGCTCCCAAAACTGACATAATGAACAGCTAGAACCCCAAAAATAAAAATTGTAATAAATCAATTATATTAAAAAAAAATTACTAATTGTACAACCAAGAAAAAAGCTATTGCAGGGTCGTACGTTGAAATTATTAAAGAGTCATAAGCTCCCAAAACTGACATAATGAACAACTAGAACCCCAAAAATAAAAATGGTAATAAATCAATTATATTTAAAAAATTACTAATTGCACAACCAAGAAAAAAGCTATTGCAGTTGCAGGGTCGTACGTTGAAATTATTAATGTTCATGCCCACTGAGAAAAACACATATGAGACAATTAAAAAGAAAAAAACAATACCAAAATTTAAAAATTGCATATTTCATACCCTATAACTTTAGCACATGAAGAAAAAAGAAACAATTTACAGAACTAAGCTGTGAAAGGTAGACCAGATAAATGATGAAGCAAACAGATTTCATACTGCGTTTCTCTTCAAATAAACATAGTTCTGGCACAAAGACTGGTCTGCCCACAGATGGCCTACCCCGTCCCTATGTGCAGTAGGTACACTAGTTAGTGCTTAACACCCTAACACGAACTGCACCGAAAAGGTCGTGGTGAGCTGCACCTTTCCTAGATACTTGTTCATGATTTTCCATTTACTTGTCAGAAGAACTATCACACACTAACAGTACAAAGTAAATAAAGTAGCTTAGAAACAAAACTCTGCATGCGGCTTCTTAAATTTAATTAACAACAATATTGCCCTTTTTATGAATCTTCAATTGATTTTACAGTTCAGTTGTCAAGAAAATCGATTACCTCCAAGGTGCTTCTCATGGATCCTTGATAGCATTTTAGAAGGAATTCATCTCAAGACAATATGGCCTCTTTTCCATCAACAACCTTGCCGCACTACAGTATGGTTCCTGAAATGCATTCAAAACCCAAGATAAATCAGACAACACATCACTATTGCAACTTCCACCAGCCACCATTTCTCTGGACTTCTCTTCACTGGGCTGTATCACAACCAATGTAGCCCCCTTAAGCATCATCCCACAAGGAATCTCGAGCTGTGGCTCATACCATAGCCTCATGCTAAGTGCAGGCATTAAGGTCCTCTGCGATGAACCTGAAGCAGAAACCGGGTTCATTGTTAGCTCCTGCAGCTGCCGTCTATTCATGCTCAGCACCCCTTGGCCATCTGCATCGGTGAGATCCAAAAACTCCAATGTCTTATGATCCCTGACAATGGGCTGGAGCAGGTAGTGACGGGCACTGGCAGCAATCAGGGAGCTGATAGTCCACACCACTCTAAGCTTGAGGCCTCCATTGGTGTAAAAAGATTCAGGGATGCTAGCGTTGTCTTCTCCACCACAGAGATCAGAAGAGGGGCTACGGCTCCCTAATTGTGTGGGAGGGGACGTGGATGACGAGGAAAGCACAGAGGAGGCGCCAAGAATAACGCAGCTGTTGATGGTAGATCCGAAGCTAGCCTTCCACTTGAGAAGTACCCCATCATTGACTCCCAGCTCGCCCGCAGGGAGTTCAATCCGGAGGCGTCGAATCTCTTTAAAGTTCTTCAGAACCTCGGATGGCGAGTAGTGGGAAACTTCAGAAAAGGAAGATTCGGCATAGGAAAGGCGCTTGGATGATGAAGAGGAGAGGATCTGACCGAGGGCGTAGATGGGGCGCACAATGCCACCAAGAACAACGCGTGCGAAGTGGGAAAGGATGCTGCGGGTCTTCTCTGCTGCAGCTGAAGAACAAGATGAAGCAGACAACGTAGAAAGATCGTCGGAGATAACGCAGTCGATGCGGACAGAAACGGTGTCGACAAGGGGTATCAGCGAGTGGAAGCGTCGGGAGACGACATAGCAGCGGCCAAGCGCCTTCACGTCGCTGATCTGGTTGAAGATAACTAGAAGGATCGAATCCGGCAACCGATCAAAGTGGTCTATCCCTTGTTCCTCCTCCACCGCCGCCGACGCGGCTAAACCATCGCCGACCCACCGCTCCAGTAGATCCGGCGTCACACTCGACATTTTATCAGAAAACAAAAGCACAAATCAAGCTAGAAAACCATGAAGCGAGAACAGAAGCGAGGAGAATGAAATAAGCCCTAGAAAACAATATCCGCCGTTTCCGTGACGATTCCGCGAAGGAGATGAGCGGTACGATGGCGGGAAACAAAGGACAAATCCTTATCCTAATCAATCTAACTCACAGCTACACGAAGAAGTAGGAGATCGTCCCGGGTAACAAGAAAGACGACAGCAGAGGAGAGAAGATGGAGGGTTCGAGAGCACATAGCAAAACCTAGGGTTTTAAGAGCTCTCTGGAATTGCTTCTCTTCTGTCTTCCAAAACCGAGAGTTGAAAACGCGTGATTGCCATCTTCCTCGACGTCACTCTTAAAATATCGATACATATTTGGGATAATTACACACACACCAGATGACACATTACTATTTACAAATCAAATATCCAGGTGATTTTTAAATTAAAAGATCGATTTAAATAAAATTTAGAGTATGTTTGGGGCAGTTTATTTGGTGCGGTGACATTTTGGAGTGTTTGGGTAAATTACGTTTTGACAGCTTATGCGTTTTGAAAATGCTGAAAGCAGAGTTTTCTCACCGCACCTATATAGGTGCGGTGACAGCTTTCTTGCAGCAGTCTGGCTTTTCCAAAAAAATCAAAAATTTCTAATATTCAACGCACCTAACTTATCAACATATTATTTTTAATCAGCTAATCAGTAGAATATTCAATAAGCTGCAGCTGTCCAGACATACCCTTAGATACATACTATTCAATTCTAATGTATTTACATATGGGACCCCTATACTTTAATATTAATATATATGTCATCTTGTCCATATATTGAAAGGTATATTTTATTTGTATAACTTAAAACTAATGATATTTTGTATGCCATATGAATGATTTGAGTGGAATAAGTGCAAAAGATAAAGTTTAGATGATTGATATGTAAATACATAAGAACTGTGTGGCATGTATGTAAATACCCCTATTTTTAAATAATATAAGAAAATTTCAAAGTATTTAATATATCTATCTATAATATTTTATATTTAATTTTTTTTTTTCTAAATGAGACAAATATTAAACTATATGTATGGTAATATTTTTGTATACTGTATATACACTTGCTTAAATTATAAGAAAAGTAAAATTATGTTATGCTTTAAATATTTAAATATATTTAAATTTTTTATACACTTAATTATATGTATGGTAATCTTAGAATTTTTAAAATATATTTAAATATGCATACCTCATATATATCATATTAAGTTATATATAAAGCAAATGTTTTTTTGCTTATTTTGTCTATTAAAAATAATATTTACATTAAAAAATTTATTCCATATATGCAAATTAAAATCTTATTCGTGTATATACTTTTATTTTACTTGATTAAACAAACAAATTGATACAAGGAGCAATATCAAAATGATTCTTGGAATAGAACTAAAACTCAAACTTGCTAAAAATGAGTTCAAATATTGAACAAACTAGAAAAATGCAAAGTACTAAAAAAAATTGATACTTAGTTGCAATAAATTTAAATGTTGGATTCAAATTTGTCCATGAAACATATCCAAGAAATAAGTGTAAGACGAGAGAGAGAGAGAGAGATAGTGAGAGAAAAACACAATAATTTGAGAAATGTGTATAACTTTTTATTCATGGAATAATCTTCAATTTATGTAGAAAGGATGAACAATATATGAAGTTACATTAATATATTTACTTTAGTGGGGGTTGTACAGGGCAATATAGGCATTTTACATAGATGAGACTTTGGTTCGACAATTTTCTGACTTGGTTGGCCGAACTTAATCGGTCATGGTTCGTCAGGATCTGTGTTGAAATGTGTTTGTGTATTGGGCTCTGAGGGTCTTTGGGCGGTCAACTTTACTTGACTCTATCAGTTGTACTGAATTGGTTGTCTACATTTAATCCCATGAAGAGAAACTCTTGTCGACAGAGTAAGACTAAGCTACCTGACAGATAGTAAATCACCATAATCTGATAGATAGCTAAGTCATCGGCAAGAGAGACTCTTCGAGATGCTCTGTTTAGGACCCGTTCTCAACCCCTTGTGAGGTATCTTAGGAGCGCATGTGAGCTGGTTGGTGATGTTGAATTATCCCTTTTTGATAAGAGATGAATTGATGCTTTCGCTCGGTCTAATAAGCTTTGGTGGCTCGGACCGCTTTCACTCGATCTGCCTTCAACCCAAGCTTAAAAGGGGTTGTCTTAGTTAGACAATTGTTAAGATACTCCATCAATGAATGTTTAATGTTATGATGCTCGACTTTTAGTCTTCTAATGACCCTTGGCTTTCCACCCGTGAGCTTTTGGTCTTCCTTTTGCAGGTCCCATTGAACTATGAAACTTTGTTCCTTTTGTTTAATGGATTTCCAAGATATTCATGCAGACGCTTATCTGATATACACCAACAACATAAAAAATGTTTTTGATAAACCCCTAAACTAAGTAAAGGTTCATTTACCATGAATTATATTGATCAGTCATCTTCACGGTCACATAGTATCAACTCTAATTGTTTGGGGTTGAACCTGATCAATAATGGGTTCTCCTTATTGTCAATAGCATGTTAGCATGGTTTGACGTCAAACATTCATTATTGTGCAAACTGTCTAGATTTTTTTAAGCTCTTAGTAGTAATTACTGATTTAGGATTGGAGTTGTGCAAATAAATGCCATATCATCAAGACACCAAATTGTCACATGAAGATTAGGCCTTATAATATGAATATTTTTATTTTTGTAAGAATGCAATCAAGCAGACAGATAAAAAATTACAATATAATAATATATTTAGAAAAATTATGCTTCATATCCATACATATTTTATTTTAAGTAACAAAAAACTTATAAAACGTAATATAAAATGTTAACTAAAATAGACTAACTTGAGTTTTTCAAAATGTGGAGTACTTTGCTTTAAAATAAAAATGATTTAAAATTAACTTGATTTATGGGCATTCATAAATTTTAATAGGACTTGGTAAACTTGTAATGAGCCATAATTTAGCCTTGTACATGCTCAATTATTACTAAGAATTCTCAATCTATAACCTCAGCCCTTATTAATCCTTTATGATTCTTTGTGTTCAATGAATTTAGTGAACTAAATATTTAAGAAATTAATGTAAACATTAAGTGAAAAAAAATAAAGTTTTATGGAGACTTGTCACAAAATATATTTAGTTGTACAGATTTCTAAAAAATGAGGGGATAAAAAAATCAGGAAAAAAAAAGATGATCATTGGCTTTTTTTTATTAGTAGTGTAATTAAGTTGTGCTTCATTGAGAGTCTTACATGCATAATATATAACTTTAAAATCTTATCTTATTTTTGTCCTAATACAACCTCAATAGCTTAATCACTTGTATCACACATCAATTCAAAAGATTTTTTCCAGTTGAGTGAAACAATAATAGGTGCAGTGATTAATCCTTTAATAATTTGAAGACATTTAGGCATTCCTCATTGAAATCAAATGTTGTATCTTTTTCTAAAAGATGACACAAAGTCTTAGAGATTTTTGAAAAGTTTTTAATTTAACACTTGTAGAATCCAGCATGTCCTAAAAAACTTCTTACTCCCCTAATCGTGGTAGGTGGGGTAGTTCAGCAATAACTTGAATTTTTGCTAAATAAACTTTCATTTCATTTTCAAAAATATTATATCCTAAAATGATTCCTTCTGCGACCATAAATTGACATTTCTTCCAGTTAAAAACTAAATTTATTTCTTCACATTGTTTAAAAACCTTGGCAAAATGATCTAAACATGAATCAAAAGAGGTTCCAAAGACTGAGAAATTGTCCATAAAAACTTCAATTCCTTTTTCAATTAAATCGCAGAAAATAGACATCATGCACCTTTAAAAAATTGCAGGTGCATTACATAAACTAAAGGACATTCTTCTAAAAGCAAAAGTCCTGTAATGTCTTGTAAATGTAGTCTTATCCTGATCCTCAGGAGTAATGAGAATTTGTGGTATCCAGAATATCCATCCAAAAAGCAGAAATATCAGTGTCCAGCTAGTCTATCCAACATTTGATCCAGTAAAGGTAGAGGAAAGTGATCTCTCATAGTGGTAAGGTTTAATTTTTTATAATCAATATAGATACGCCACTCGGTGACTTGGCTTATTTGAATTAATTCATTCCATTTGTTAACTGTTACTGTCACTCCCCCTTTCTTAGGAATATAGTGAATATGACTAACCCAAGCACTTTCAGAAATAAGATAAACAATTCAAGCATCCAACCACTTTAAATTTTCTTTATTTGCAACATCTTTCATGAAAGGATTCAATCTTCTTTGATGATCTGCCCTAGACATATGGTCATCTTCTATTAAAATTCTGTGCATACAGATTGAGGACTGATTCCTTCCATATCAACTAATGTCCATCCAAAAGCTTTATTATAATTTTCAAAGTCTCCATTAATTTTTCTTCTCAATCTTCAATTAAATCTGAGGATATTATAACAAGGAATGTTGATGAATTCCCTAGAAATGCGAACTTTAAATGCTTTTGGAGCACTTTCATCTTAAGTTCAGAAGGTTTTTCAATTAAAGGGATCGAAGGTTTACTATTTTCAATAGTGTCCAAAATCTCAAATTTTTCCTGAACATAATTGGAATCCTTAGTATTTATCTCATTTGATTCATCTTGCAACTCAATTTCACTTTCATCCTCATGTTCTTTTTGATTTTTTATAACTTCACTTATTTCTTGGAAATGATGAATAATCAAATAATCAATAATATTTATTCTATAACATTTATCGTCTTTTCCTTTAGCTGGATATTTAATAGATTTGAGCACGTTAAATGTAACTTCTTGGTCATTAACTCTCATCGTTAACTCTCGTTTCTGCACATCTATCATTGCTCGTCTAGTGGCAAGGAAATGTCTTCTAATAATAATAAAAATTTATGTATCTTCCTCCATATCTAACGCAATGAAATCCACAGGGAAGATAAATTTATCCACTTTCTCTAATACGTCCTCTATAACCCTTTTAGGATAAGTGATAGATCGATCAGTTAACTAAAGAGTTATAATAGTGAGAGAAATATCTCATAAACCTAACTTTCAGAATATAGAGAATGACATGAGGTTAATGCTAGCTCTTAAATCACATAAAGCTTTTCCTCAAAAATTTTCTCCAATTGCATAAGGTATAATGAAGCTACCAGGATCCTTGAGTTTTTTAGGAAGCTTTTTCTAAATTATTGCTCTACATTCTTTGCTTAGTGCAACAGTTTCATAATCATCAAATTTTCTCTTTTTGTTTAAAATCTCTTTCATAAATTTAGCATAACTTGG